GCGGTCGTTGCTTTGCCGATGCTCGCCTTCCCGTCTGCATCGGATCCTCTTGTTCATCGATCGTGCACTGCAGTTCTCAGTAGCGAAGTGGATAACGTGATGGCGTTTGAAGCGAACAGCATTGAGTTCGGGTCTCGGAGTGACACATCAACTGTGGGATGCAGGTGCACACAGCTGACGAGTCACAACCACGACGAAACACGTGTCTACTATTCCAATACTAGCCACCATTTATAGATTACAGTTATTTTAATATACTTATACATCTCACTGACTGACTGACTGACTGACGACTGACTGACTGACTGACTGACTGACGTAATAATACAGAGGCCACAACAGAAACAGATATTCGGCATTGTATTTTGAGGCTTGTGTTCACTGATCATCATCATAGAAATACATTTGCATGCTAAGTGGTGCAAATTAGATGTCATGTGGAAATGATCACTTGACGAAAAATCTGGCACAATGAGACACTTCACGAGGCACACGATACTCCGAAAACATGGATTCGCACAATATCCAACTGATACACATAAAGCAATTGTCGCTATTACGATTTCTGTTGATTTCACATATCTCGAAATAACAGTTTGAAATGAACAATGCATATACTAGGCCATTGATATATCACGCAAAATACACACTACTTAAGGGATTTCAGAAGAGTCATATCAATGAAGTAGAGACTGGGAATAATGCATTGAGAAACACGAGTTTGTTGGGAGACTCACGTGTGATGAGCGTTGTCGTGTCTTCATTCTTCACCGTTACATCCACAGTTGCTACACAAATCGAACAAACACAGAAAGCTGAATCACGGTTTGAAGAACGAGTCATTCAAGAGTGCTCAAATAATTGTTTGTAATATTGTGTTTTTTCTACTTAGTCTATATAGAAATTTCAATGGTACCGACATTTTGGTGATTGCGAGAAAATGAAAGTATTCATTTTGTCAATGGACTCCATTGGATAAAATATCAGGTGAGTGTAGAAAAGTTGGTCTGGACAGGTGTGATTTAGCACGACAAATAACAGTGGAAGAAACTGCACTGAACATTTCTCTCCAGTTCTTCACAGTTGCTGTTCATCCATTTCTTGTCTACCTACAATTCCTGATGCGGTCTGTGGTTCGGTCTTCCACGTTTTCCGATCCACTTCACCATTGCAAATTAGTGCTCGACTCGTGATGCAGTTTGGCGATTTCCCTCATGAATGTTCTATCCACGTTCAACGTCTTTCCCTAATTTCCTCTTCAACTGGAGGTTGGTTCATTCCCTCTCACAGTAGGTTGTTGCTGATGGTATCCGACCAACAAACATTGAGTATCTTGTGTAGACAACTACTCATAAATACCTGTACACTTTGATGGTGGTTGTGGTGGTTGTTGACTTTTGAGCTCTGTGCAGTGTCACTGTCCAGACATTCGTATTGAAGATTGTCACATTGATATTGGTCGAGAGTTGTTTTGAGTTGCATATGTTGTTGAATTGTATGAATGCGGTCGTTGCTTTGCCGATGCTCGCCTTCCCGTCTGCATCGGATCCTCTTGTTCATCGATCGTGCACTGCAGTTCTCAGTAGCGAAGTGGATAACGTGATGGCGTTTGAAGCGAACAGCATTGAGTTCGGGTCTCGGAGTGACACATCAACTGTGGGATGCAGGTGCACACAGCTGACGAGTCACAACCACGACGAAACACGTGTCTACTATTCCATTACTAGCCACCATTTATAGATTACAGTTATTTTAATATACTTATACATCTCACTGACTGACTGACTGACTGACTGACTGATCGACTGACTGACTGACGTAATAATACAGAGGCCACAACAGAAACAGATATTCGGCATTGTATTTTGAGGCTTGTGTTCACTGATCATCATCATAGAAATACATTTGCATGCTAAGTGGTGCAAATTAGATGTCATGTGGAAATGATCACTTGACGAAAAATCTGGCACAATGAGACACTTCACGAGGCACACGATACTCCGAAAACATGGATTCGCACAATATCCAACTGATACACATAAAGCAATTGTCGCTATTACGATTTCTGTTGATTTCACATATCTCGAAATAACAGTTTGAAATGAACAATGCATATACTAGGCCATTGATATATCACGCAAAATACACACTACTTAAGCGATTTCAGAAGAGTCATATCAATGAAGTAGAGACTGGGAATAATGCATTGAGAAACACGAGTTTGTTGGGAGACTCACGTGTGATGAGCGTTGTCGTGTCTTCATTCTTCACCGTTACATCCACAGTTGCTACACAAATCGAACAAACACAGAAAGCTGAATCACGGTTTGAAGAACGAGTCATTCAAGAGTGCTCAAATAATTGTTTGTAATATTGTGTTTTTTTCTACTTAGTCTATATAGAAATTTCAATGGTACCATCATTTTGTTGATTGTGAGTAAATTCAAATTTTCTTTTTTTCTTTTGGTTTCTTCAGCTTTTTCTGAATTGTTCAATCACTTCTTTGATTCTCTTTCTTTTTTCTGATTTATGGAACTCCGTTTTTGTAACTGTTGCTATGTATTTTTTTATGTTTATATTTTTCATTCGTTGGTCATTTCATCATGAATTATTCGGTTATTTTAATTTATTTTCTGTGGACGTTGATAAGCCTTTTTAACTTTTATTTTATTTTTACAATTTTAATAATTTTTTTACTCGAAATCTAGCATGACTTTTATGCGTATTCTTCATTGTCTTACAGAATAACGGCTATCAAATATGTGTAGTGATTTTAATTTCTTAGTATCTGTTCATCATTTGTTCATTCAAGAATGAACTTTTCTATCCAACATTCTGTTATTTAGATATATAAATGTTCAGACAGTGACGAAATTGTTCGTGATGTGTCGTGCAAGAAAATATATTTTCAAATAATTTTTTGTGAAAATTAATTTATCGTAAAGTATATTTTGATCGGTTTTTTATCACTTTCTCTCACTTGTTGTTTGTATTTTTATTGGTTCTTTCTTCACATTACGAAGAGGTGACCTGTCTGAGAAACAACAAATAAAGATGTTATTCTTGATAATGGGATAAAGTTACTTTTCAATGGTTTAATACTTTGGAAATTTCAGTTTTACACAGAATCTGATCTATCACGTACTCAAGAAGTTGGGAATAATGATGAAGAAATATTGAAACGTTTCATTAACTTACTTTTGACTTTATATACTACAATAAAATAAAAAATAGTGTGACTAGTTTTTGTATATAGTCGAAAACTCGGTTGAACAAAAACCATTACACAGATAGGTACGTTGGTTTTCTGAAATATTTTCACATGTTTACTACTATTCACATGATCTAATTGAAAGCCATTTCATCTAGTCTGTGTAGAACATCAAATGACATCTGGTTTCATGATGAAACTACATATAACAAAACTCTTCGATCCTTAGCACACATTTCAAATGAAGTGTGAACCCTTTGCCTGGGTCAGATATGACCAGTAGTCTTGCACTCATGTAACTTCGAGGAAAGTATTAACTGAACAAAATAATTTCCTGTACAATAAAATATAATCAGTAAACTCACATTCACGGCATTTCCATTTCAGTACCGGTGGAAAAGTAAAGAAAACGCAATGAAAGGATTTATTTAGTATTTGGGAATGCGGTTTTGAATTCACAGACTTGTGCTCAACACAATCAAATGAAACAGTTGACTCGTGGGATCGATTTATTCAGTCTAGTTCCTATGATTCCGCTGCGTGTCAACTCTCCCTGAAGCGTCCATGCTGACTCTACATATGCCTAGCGTTGGGAGGACCAGAGTCAGTACGACTAGTATGTGGAACATTTGTTGTATTTTCTGCAAACAGACGCAATGATTCACGTCAATCATTTTGTGATAATAATATCGTCGGTATAGATAATCATTAACTAACCCTAGTTATGACGTCGGCAACTCAGCACATTGAGATAACACACATGAACATGGAGAAATGTTCGAAACTCAGTTGAATAGCTTTGTGACGTCAGAAACATGAGCTCACTTTGACTTAAGAGTTAACTCAGGTATTTCATCAAAATGTCATGGTCGCATTCCTTTATGGCGTACGAAAACTCGAAAAAAACCAACAGTGGAACAAATTAGAACAGCTCTTCTATTCCAGATATGTGTTATCATGATATCAACAGATTACGCCGACCTGTAAACCCTGAGTGTGCGCGATTATGCAAATGTTTGTCAGTAGATGACTTCGACACCTCCGTAATAGCAAGCACGTCTGAATCGCATTTGTGGATCAGATGTGAACATAGACAAACATCTTGATAGGTAATCAATTTACAGTTGTCCACCGACAAACATGTGTAATGTCATCACATGTACGCAGATCATTCCACTTCCACAACCTGGTTTGCTAGAAAAAACTTGCAGTGCATAAGAAACATAAAGAAAATATTACCCATCGTCGGTAGAGAGAAACGGTTCTCATGTCTACTGAACAGAATAAACACTTCTTCCATTCCATCTTCCGTTTCGATGTGGTTCATGTAATACTCAACTTGGTCGCCCGAGATGATATTCATCTGCAGGTGTTGTGTCGAATATCCTCTGAATATAACAGTCAAATCAGTTGGTCCACAAGTACTTCGTTCTTTTTCCCATCTCAGAAGTGGATAAACATCTTGCACCAACTGTATTTGAACATTCTTGATTCTCGGAACTAGAAAAGAATGAGACGAACAATGAGAGCACAAAATGAATGCACTGTGGCATTGTCACTGTTGATGAACACAGTTACAGGAAAGTTAACCTATCAAACGCAGTAGTACTGTGGCTTTGTTACAACGTATCTAGAGACTGACATTCATCACAGGAAACTCAACCAAATATTCCACAACACTTATAACCTTCAGAATGTCAAGATATAATTCGAATGTTCCAAAACTGTGATGAAGATGGAACAGAGATTGGAAAAATGATCCTTTGGTAACAGTTCAGAAACAACTCACTTCTTTTGTATGTCATATAATAGGTCTGGAAGTTAGAATAAAAATAGTTTGTGTTGTAGCCTTCTGCACGAAGTGTCGACGCTTCACACGGTTGTCCAATAGCTTCTAATAAACCTATATTGCCTTTGTAAACTCTCACCGTTTCATCGGGCCAAAGGTATACGTTTAGAACCAAATAGACATAATCGAAATTTTTGTGTTTCATTGGTTTCCATTCGAAAGCCATAGCTGCCGTCTGCTCTTGAATAACGCGAAACGTATTTGTATTTGTATCCCCTGTTTGAAAGCAAAAACACTTCGAATATAAAGTGTTATTAAAGTGCAATGAATTTGTTAGGTATGACTACTGATCTAAAATGATGACATTTAGGAAACTGATGCTCACATTCCCGCACTTCATAGACTGTTGGTCAGCTAACATCAATGATGTTTTTCGATTGTGTATTTACTTGAACGGTTGGATACAAATTTGTTCTACAGAATGAACAGTCTTGATTGCACAACATCAGGATAAACGTATGGTGTGTCAAATACTGTAAATCAAGATGCTCATCAGAAAGTAAGAGTGCGATTATAAATATTTGGGAAAACAGGAGGAAAGTAAATTGAGTTAGCCGGAGAACATTCTAGATGGTCTAATCCAAAGGCGAATGAGTGTACACAGAGTTCAGTTTTAGAAGTGAACAATGGCCAATATGATACATTGTCTTACGTAACATCCTAATTGTGGATTTTTGATTGTGTTAAACTTAGTCCTACTAGATGATCAATGTTGCACATTCTTATCGGACTTGGAATACTCCAAAGCTACTCACTGGTTATCGAATAATATGTCAAGTCATCAACTAGAAACAAACATGTATGCACCAAAAATGCATACTAACCAGAACTGAAACACGTTTTTGAACAAATGGCATTATGTGACGCAATCAAATCTGACAGAGAACATAACGCCTCTAAATCTAAGAACGAATTCATTTGTTTAAAATCTTATGAATGGATTAGGGCATATTTAGCGATATTTGATTAAATTAACATCTAGCTTATACGTCAGTGGTGTTTTTGTTTCTGAGAATTAAATTGTTTCCTGCCTAGTTATACTAAACAACACTTCTCAGAAAGTGCTTTCATGAAACTCCTCTATTTGCCTTCACGGAGTAAGTGTATCACGAATAGTGTACCTTGTGTTCAATCCTTCGTTAAAATAGTGAAACAAAATGCCGTTTGTGCAGTCTCACTCAATCTACAACAATTTCCCTGGTCTTCGTTATCATGAGATCAGCAAAAATGTATAATGATACGAATAGAGAATGAATGCTCGATAAATGCGTCAATTCGGAGAAAATTGAAGTAACCGCTCATATTTAAAACATTATGCTTGCATGTTTATTCACAATTATAGTAATCACACTCACTTCCAACCATATTCGTTTCCAAATATGCAGGTTCGTACCGTCCATTTACTTTGTGTGTTGATGCGAATACTAGTTTAATTGGTAAGACCACAAGAGAAGTTGGAAACATTTATAGGAAAGAAACATGAACAATTTTTGATTTCGTAAAATCGTGTTTAACAAAATCATTTTCCATAATAAAATACTCACGACAACTATATCTACACTTTATCAAGTTAATTTTATCATCATTCGACTTCAAGCATGTGAGATACTGATGTTTGTTTACGGCTGAGACAACTTTGCTTTATCCAAACCTATCAGCACGATACATTCAATGGAACCTAAGTGACTCCAGACTAGTATTTGCACATTATTGACCTCAGTGTTGTGACAGATGACAATCAAAGAGTTCTGCGTACATATCATTTATACAGAGAGTGGGCTGTTTACTTGAATATCCCAACAATATAGCATGTGACCGCTAAGCTGATTAAATGGAGTTGAATAACTCGACGAACTTCACATATCTTAAGATAACAGGCCAACTACGCTGGCAAGTGTTACTTAGCAAAAAAATAGGACCAGGATTTCATTCGCGCAACTAAAGTCTACGTAGAAACACAAAACGTTCAACTCACCGATCACTACTGCGAATAAAACGGAGATGTATTCATTTGACTTTCTCATTTTCACAGCGATTTCAAAATGGTTGATTATAGTTGCCGTGAAAATATATATCTATCTATCTATATATATATAAAGAGAGAGAGAGAGCAAAAATATTGACCCAATATATTCAATAGTCAAATAATAGAGTGAGTATGGTGTAAGCAACTATGAGACGACTGCTTTTCAGTGAGGTCATCTCAATAATCATTTTGAAGATTTACTTTCATTTCTTAATTCATAACCTGATCTGTCGTAAGATTAAGGCAAAAGTATCTTACGACATTAAAAAATGAACAGATTTTCACTACATTACCAGTCACAAGGTATGTCATTCGACTATTTGATTCCAAATTATTTTCTTGTTTGTTGGCTTATCGGATGGTTTCAGAAATCGTGATTATGCACACTAATGAAGAGTGAAATAAAATATCTTCTCAAGAACATGTGAAAACTTTTTTAATTATTCTTTTTCAAATCTCTTATGATTCAGGACTAACGTTTTCTGCTTGAATTTTGTCGAATGAAAGCGCGTTAGCAGACCATGGTTGGTGAGATACATTCAGAGGTCATAAACCAAAACTACTGTCGGCAATCGTCTAATTCTCATTATCTGACAAGATGAGTGGTTCAGTAAACGATCGCGATATTATTGTACCACTACTTCAAATGACATAGGTTTGCTGACAGTACTTATTTCAAATGACCTTTGTTAGTGCATCATTACATTAGGTCGGTATATTAGTAGATCACTACGAGAATATTACCTGCTACGTTTGATGGTGGTGAAGATAAAGCGATGTTGGACAGACAGACATTTCTCGAGGTCCTTGAAAACAAAACACTCACACATTGAACAACTGCGCAAGCAGTAGGAATGTGATGCATAATACGTTGATTTGCTAGTTATCTCGACAACGCTCGGTAGATGGAAATGTATTTTCTGGAAGCTCGTCACACTTCTAATTGTTTAAAATACGATTTCACGAAATAGAAGTTACGCGTTCCTTGAGTACTTATTTCTGATCCCGATATTCCCGTTTTTCCAAGCTGTAGTGTTCATGCTGTAGTGGGATGAAGGGCAAAGTAACTTCATCAATTGCAATCCACTTGACCTGTTCTGAATTAACGTTCGGTTATTCTGGTCAACCACGGGCTACATCGGTAATTGCACACAATCCTGTGGATTTGTCGAATAGAACAACCTCTATCCTCATAAATTATTACCGCTTCAATCTGCCGAGTTTTAGGGTTTAATTTTAACGTCGCAACTTTACGTAGTCATCTGTTGGTTGTAATTCACTAAACCTTCCATCTTATATTGAAAGATTATCAAAATCACATTGAATAAGCAGGTGAATACAGATAGTCAGTAGTACTACAAGGTAAGCTGAATAACTGCTATTAACTGTCTTAAAGAATAACGCTGAATTATCGAAAATACAATTCTTGAACTTTCACTCTCCGATCAAACCTGCTTGATTCGTTTTTTGTTGGTCACATACTTCCTACCTTCACTTCTGTCAGATCCATTTTGAGTGTTTTCTGTGTGTGAAAATCCCTTGATGTATACACTTGCACTTTGCTAGGATTGATTCCCATAGTTGTACATTATTAGTCTTTTGGTTACATTTGAGTTGTTAACATTTGTATTTTTTATTATAGTTTTTATTTTTCTTACGCCTTCACTAACTTTTTGTGTTTCTTCCCGAACTGCATCTTTGTTGTTTTACTTGATACTTATTCTTGGCGGCAGCCATATTGATTTGCTCCCTACTAATGTGCGTGTTCTATCCAGTCAAGATAGAATAGCGTTTATTTGTTGTGACTGGTAATTTTCCTTCATCTTTAATCAACTTCTTTATTTGTTGTAATTTAGATTTGATTGATTGAACAATTATTGGTTGAATAGCCGGTTGGTAATATTTGTTTAGGTAACGCTTTACATTTAAACTTATGATGGTATATAGAATCGTCATTTTCTTGATTACTTGTTTTGATTTTGACGTGCGATGGCGCGTGTCTAACCCAACTTGACGGAAATCCTCAGTCCAATCTTAGTTTGGAACCCTCACATTTAAATTACCAAATATACAGATAAATCTTGAGTGTCCTGTTGATCACTACACGTGCTGCCAAAAGAAAATTGTCACCGATAACATGGCCTCAAAGTTTCTTGACACTGAGTAAACAACAAAACGTAACCACAGTTAAGCTGGGTGAAAAATGCGAAAGTATTAAAAACCATATAAAAAACAGTCACCTGTAATATAATGTGAATCCATTCGTATGAATTCTCTAACCGGTTTTTTTTATTCAACCGTATATATGCACATGTTATCTATATTGTGTTGTGTTGATGGGCAAGAAAAAAACAAGTATGATCCTGGATTAGTGTAGCAAGCGCACCCAGTTCCAGTTTACTAAGGTCAAGAGTGTGTTCGAAACTCGTTAACATGTGCAGCCGAAGTTTGCTTTCAATGAAAATCACTATCACAAAGGTTTTAAAATCCATTTCTTTATAAATGTTGAAGAATTGCTTACCGTTTTCAATCTTGGTCGAATACACGTTCAAATGATCAAGGACAAGCTACCTTTGTATAATTGCTCCTATATTAGGCGTCATTGTCGCTCGTAAAATTAGTGATTTATTCTAAACTTATTGTTCGTTTGTAACAATAAGCCTAAAGGTTTATATATGTCTTCAGCTAGCGTTGTTTTGAAAAAAAGCGATAGCCGGAAAGCACATTTCACAGTTTTAGATTGAAAAAAAATTCTGATAGAACTTCCAGTGATGATATGCAATTCATCTGCTGATTCCAAGTTGAAAAACGAACTAAATCACTAATAAAGCACGTTTTGAATGCTGGCTCAACAGTTTAATGAATATTCAAAATAAAGAGCACGTTCACAAAATAAAGAACGTTTTCACAGTGTTATTAGGCTATTCACCATCAAAAGAAGCCATTCATAAATGAGATGAGATATAGAACCATTCATCATGTTTGGTCGTGCAAACAGTTCGTTTACTCAAAACAGTATCACAACATTGTGATCGCATTCATAGTTGCGTCACATGGGATCCGCAGTTCGTGATTTTCTCGTTTCACAAACAGTAAGCAACAAATATATGAAAACATATATTTTTATTATTAGTGTTTAAGGAGTTGTAACTGACAATATACCAGTGCTGTTGCACCAGTCAATGACGCAGAAAATCTATTAAGTCGAAAAATTGCAGATAAGTTAGCGACACCAAGTAGCGTTTACTTAGTGAGCATGTTTTCCGATCACAATTTAAGGAAACGTGAGGCAATTTGCAACAATGGCAAACACGTTTTCAACGATAAAAGAAACAATCCATGTTATGTGACAGATAGCGTTGACAAACCTTGATTATATAAAACTCTCTGTTTCCTTACTTGAATATTGAAAGTTCTAAAAACCGGGACACAATCGTCTCTCGTAGGAATGCGCTCAGGCAATTCATATTTTTAAACGTGAAACATAGATTTTACTTAGACACCCGCAGCAGGGCTAGAATGGCCCTAAGCACACATGGAAACTACTATTTTGGCTTTTTCAACGTTCTAACAAATGCTTCCACGAACCACCCGAATCAAGCTACCATGCTTATCTGTTTGATTTAAACACATCAACTCAGTAGTGTTTAGCTTTAGATAAAAATATTAGGTATAAAATACATCAGCTGAAGAACATAAAAGTCGACAGCTTTGAATCATATAATAAACGAGAGTTCATGGTTTATAGATTTTATCAGAAGCAAAATTAAATGTGTTTCACGAGTTCTAAACTAAATGAAATAATGAACTCAGAAGTGATGTCCGTTGCTTATCACAGCTTCTACGTTTCTCCATCCACAACATTATGTCTGAACAACTAGTTCTACTCCATACGAAAAAGCGAGAAACCCAACAACCAACTACATTCACATCACGTATTCAAATTTAATAGTTATTCACCGTATCTTACATCAATGTTAATCAATGCTTGGTCTGTACAAAATAGTGACTTAGGCATGCATCAGGGTGCATCCAAGCGGTTGTTTACTTGTTTTGATGACAGAGAGTCGATTGTCCTCTGATGTCACAGACTTGTACTTTCAAATGGACACACATGAACTCTTCTACTGATGGAATCTGTAAAGTGGTAGATGGTTGTCCTGTATATGCATTTGAAGTTATGAAAACGCAAATCTGTAGCGCGGCTGTGCTCAACACAGCCTCTGATTTGAAATACCTTACTTAACACCATCATGAAGGTAAAACACAAAGTCAGTGTTCAATCTGCGCTTCAAACACCTTTAATTCATCTGTCATCACTATAAGTGAGATATTTACTAAGACTGCCTCTCAATACATGCGTTGAGCAGGAAAACTTTGTCTATTATTAAAGCACTCAAGCGAAGTTAATCTATTAAAAAGTGACAACAACAAACTGCAAACTATACGCTGTAATTCCGTTTTAATAAATTTCAAAACAATAACTAGTTATAGGTTCAAAAACCAGTTAGAAGCTACAAAAATGATATACTGTAAATCCAAAGAAAACTTGAGTGTTGTGTATCAAAAATATGCTTCTTGTTTGAGGAGGACGTGTGAATTCTTCTAGAAAGGCATAAACACGCAGCAGAACGTACTTAGCTCAACACAACATCCGAATCTCCAGACGGTTGTCGTTTTCTTGGAAGGCGCACAAGAACGAGTGTAAATCAGAAAGGGTTTTGATGATATCATAGTAGTTTGTCGTGGGTGTGGACTGCTGAGAAGTCTCACAATAGGAGGGAACGACGTTCCATTGCTTGCAGGTTTTCCATGGTGGTCTAGCTTTGATTGTCTCATGAATCTAACTATTAAAGAGTGTCAATCACAACATTCACTCCTTATTGTACGATAATGTGACGACGCGTGATCAGAGAGACTGGTCATGAAAAGTTAGACATGCCAATCACTGAAATTCAAGAACAGGGAAACAGATGACTGGAGCATTTTAACGAACAC